ACCTGGGCTCCTCTCCGGAGCTGTCAGCTGGAAGCAGAGCCAAAGACACCTGCTTCGGTGGGGAGTTGCAGGGTAAGCTAAGGACAAGGCTGTACCTTCAGCAAGATTTAACCACCCTCCTCGCTATGGCAGCCCCGATTATTGCCCTCTCCTTAAAGCAGAGAGCAGGCGAGCAGCCCTTCCCCACTTTCTGCAGGGGTGGGACGGCAGCCCTAGGTCCTTGCTGGCCTGGGCGGAGGCTGGTTTAAATTCCCACTTCACAGCCAGCCGCTGTAACCTCTGAGCCTCTGCACTTTGGGACCTGCTTTCATATTTTATGAAGAGCTGGAAGCGTGCGTGTTCAGGACAGAGTCCTGGTGCCACCTCCTGCGTGCAGCGCCCAGGCTCTCTGGCTGTGTCTGAGCTCTACCAGGACAAGCCAGACGGAGGAGAAACACTCGTTGGTGAGGTCTGCCCGGACTCTGGCATCAGGCTGGTCCAGATGAGCCTCCACACCTGTCCTGCCCACTCTTGACTGTCCCCTCCGGGATGTCCTTGCAACCTGGCAGCCATGGGTTGGCACCCTGCCTCTGGCTGGGCTGTGAAACAGCAGCTCCTGCCGACGGAGGGGTCACAAGGCTGGTTGGGGGACATGACAAAGTGGGGTCCTTCACTGCTTCAGGCTGTGACCACCTGGGGCTACCCAAAGCGGCCAAGTGCTGTGGCATGCCTGCATCCTCTGACACCAGCCCTGGCCCTCGCCTCCGAGGCGGGAGGTAAAGTTAGTGATCCCAAATCACAGGCTCGCAGAGGTGGCTGGTGGTCACCTCTGGTGGGCAGTGGCCTTTGGTCCATGATGTCACCCACCGAGAGGGGCCGGTTCCTCTATGGAGGGGCACGCTGGCTGTGTGGTGCATGGGACAGGGCTGCAGGACCCTGCTCCAAGCCAGGATCAGTATGAGCGGGTTGCTCAGGGCTTTGTCCAGTCAAGGGTTGGCAGCAAGGTCCCAGCAGAGAATATCTGCCACTCAGCCAAGAGGGGGAGATTGTCACAGGGGCCGTACCCCAAAGCAAAGGGCTCTGGGTGCAAGAGCAGAACCGATACCCCTGGGGCAGCTCAGCCATGGGAAACACCCGTGTTCGTCCTTGCCCTGCAGCTCCTCTGCACAGGGACCAGGGCAGACAGAGACCGCAGGGTGCCAAAGGCTGCCTGTGTTGTTCGAGCCACTGCCCAGCTCCCCGAGCTGCTGATTTACCTGCAGGACCCTGCACGGCAGCAGCAAACCGCACGCTGCGTCCCCTCGGTGCGAACGACCCCTGGGGATGCTGCGGCCGGCCGTACGCAGCACCATGTGCCCGCCGGAGCGAGGCCGGGGAGTGCCAGGGGAGCGCCGCGGTCGGAGCAGGCTCTGGACGAACAGCTGAGGTGAGGCCGTGAGTAAGTGATGTGGGTTGTGTCGGGACTCCATGGCAACCACAATATTTGGGTGCTGCTTCAGCCCGCAGCACCCACTGCGGAGCCTCAAGCGTGGTCGGGCTCCGGGCAAGGGAAGCCAGCAGCCGCGATGGGCAGCGCTGGCGTGTGGCTGGCTGGCCCCAGGGGTGCTCCAAGGGGGGCCCGCAGGGG